CACGTAATGAGAAAAGAAGGCTTGAAAAATCTGATACACACGAGGCGGATAGAGTGAAAGCGAGACAAAGGGATGCAACGCGTGACATAGGCTTAAGCAAGTGGATGTTAGAACAGGGTCTGGGAGAAGTAGCAAAAAGACAAAACTTATTGAGAGTTACAAGAGATAGGTGGAGATGGAAGGCCATTATCGCCTACGCCTTGAAAAGACATGGCACATGAAAAAAGATAAAAGATACATAAACAGTACTGCTCTCTCTAAACATTTCTGGAATTGAAGAATGCTGGTAATACACTCATTATTACATGGGATATTGTAGATAAAACCAATTCTTACAATAGGAAAGGCGGTAGGTGTAATTTATGCCTTATAGAAAAATTAGCTAGCTTTAAACGCTTAAATAGCCCTAACTTATTAAACAAGAGAAATGAATTGATGGCCACATATAGGCATAAAAATACCTGTTGAACTACTTTGATCCAGATTAATTTCCACTGTAGATTACCACCTTTCCTTATTTATTTTCGCCTCTCTACTTATATTATGTCGAGGGTATGTAATTAAAAATTTTTTGATAGTTTTATGCTCTTTTTAAATATAAAATAAAAGCTTTAATACCCGTTTAACTTGAATATAAAACATAAATCTTAAATACAAAATATTTTTTTGTATTTAAGGTAGATTTTTTAAAAACATTTTTCTATAGTCTTAAGTCTGTTTATTTTTATGCAATTTTTAAGAGAATCCAGTAATCCTCGTTTATGTTTAATATAAAATATAAATCCCGTCTATTTTAAATAATTTTTATATAGTTTTATGTCCGTTTATTTTAATATATATTTTTCAATAAAATACAATTAATCTCCGTTTATTTTAAATATAAATGCCATCTACAAAGTCGCAACCTCTTGTAAGACGGAAACTATGGAAAATCCGAATAAGAGAAAGGTTATGCAAGATAGCCAGAATATTAAACATAATAGAATCATACCATTGAAAATCAGAAAATACAAAAAATGTGTCTTCTGTTTAAGTTAAAATTTAAGAAAGCCGTTTTAAAATATGAGATATATAGCAGGAGCACCAGACCAGATTTGTCAGTAGTATTCAATGTACGGATGAATAGTAGATTTATAAATGTGCAAGGGAGATTTTACTTTGTGCTGGAAACTTTTGAACACTCCTGATATGCATTACAGACCCTTCTTTAAATTTGGTCAAGAATCTTGAGATATATAGTAGGAACACCCGACCAAATATGGCAGCAGTATTCAATGCATGGATGAATGGTAGATTTATAAATGTGCAAAAAGAGGGATTTTATTTTATGTTGGAAACTTTTGCATACTCCTGATATACATTACAGAGCCTTCTTTGAATTTTGGTCAAGAATCTTGAGATATATAGTAGGAACACCAGACCAGATATGGCAGCAGTATTCAATGCATGGATGAATGGAAGATTTATAAATGTGCAAAAAGAGGGATTTTATTTTATGTTGGAAACTTTTGCATACTCCTGATATACATTACAGAGCCTTCTTTGAATTTTGGTCAAGAATCTTGAGATATATAGTAGGAAACTTAAGACCAGATATGGCAAAAGTATTCAATGCATGGATGACTGGTAGATTTATAAATGTGCAAAAAAGGGATTTTATTTTATGTTGGAAACTTTTGCAGAATACTCCTGATAAAACATTACAGAGCCTTCTTTGAATTTTGGTCAAGAATCTTGAGATATATAGTAAGAACACCAGACCAGATATGGCAGCAGTATTCAATGCATGGATGACTGGTAGATTTATAAATGTGCAAAAAGAGGGATTTTATTTTATGTTGGAAACTTTTGCATACTCCTGATATACATTACAGAGCCTTCTTTGAATTTTGGTCAAGAATCTTGAGATATATAGTAGGAACACCCGACCAGATATGGCAGCAATATTCAATGCACAGTCGATTGGTAGGTTTATAAATGTACAAGATAGAGTCTGACGAGAAATACGATCTGACACAAGACTTTGAACAAACTTTCCGTGAAGTAGGCGTAGCACTTTATTAAATAAAATCTCCCCACTTCATCCTTAAATTATTTTTACCGATTATAGTATACTAAATTGTGTGTAGACTAAATTATGTTTCTTTTTTAAAAAATTGTACTCAGCCTGGTAACCCCAAGTCGCCATATTGATCTAAACAAACGAAGGTAGCCAGCTACACAGCGAGACGAGTGGAACAATAAATGAATAGCCTCTTTTAGAATTCCCTTTGAATCTCCGCATTGATCGCAATGGGTTAAAGTTGGAGTTCATTTGTCGCATGTAACATAACGATCACAAAATGGCCGCTGCACACACAAAAAAAAAGTAAATTAATCAGGCCCGAACCTGAGCGCTTCTAATTCTAAGCTTGATTAAAAAATCGGCAAAATTTTTTTTCTTTGTCCTCTGTCTCTAAGCAGACATATGACCAAAAGTAATCTTGTGTCCGATGACATG